GCACAAATGTATGTTGCGTACATAGGCTAAAATTCACAAGATTTTAAAGTAGTTCCCCAATTTCTAAAATGTAACTCTTCTTGTAAAAGAAGTTATAGCTTATCAAAATTTTAGTTACACTGGGGCACTGTCGACAATCTAATGACTGACTGAGCAGGGCAATTTACTCCTAATGTGTTACATATAACAATGTCAACTAACATTTATAATTGGGTAAATTTAGCAAATGATGACCCGTAGAGGTTTGCCCTACAGATTTTCTATGCAAAAAATTTCTTTTAAAATTTATGAGATGAAAATGGTTAAACTGTCTCAATCAGCAACATTCCGGTACCATAACGCAAATCTAAGCATGAAGGGGAAAATTGCTTGGATGAAAGCTTCAGTTAGTAAAAAGTCCTATCCAGAGAGGGCTGAACTTCCAACATCTCACAGCTCTTTGATTGCGGGCGAGGGGCGCTCTACAAGGGAAGCCTAAGTAATTTATTTGCCAAATCTTTATACTGCTTCGAATAGCTGCAAATTTCAATTACGTTTCTTTATTCATAAATGTGAACTGCAATAGAAATATTTTTAGATAATTTTACATTAATTAGCACATAATGCTTTAGATGATGGCATGCACACCTATAGACCCTTTGCACATGACGTCACATTAGGCATCCGGAGGACAAATTAACGTAGCATAAATTTTGCAAAAACGTAAATTTTGGAAAAAATATTAACTAGTGTTAGTAATACTTAGTAGTGTTAGTTAGTTAATAGTTAACGTCCAAAGCACTAAGATGTGTATTGTGTATGATTGTTCCGCTAGTGCAGAGAAAGGAAGTCCATCGCTGAACACTTGCCTAGAAACTGGTCCAGCTCTACGAAACAAACTATGGGACGTTCTTGTTCGCGGTAGATTCTGCCCTGTGATCTTTGCTGCTGACATGAGGAAGGCGTTCCTCCAGGTGCGTATCAGAGAAGACGATCAAGATGCGCTATGTTTCCACTGGTTGAAGAATGTTACATTGGACGAGATCGTGACGCTAAGATTCACCAGAGCAGTTTTTGGTTTGGTATGTGCTCCGTTTCTGCTGGGCGGAGTGATCGAGCAGCATTTGGCTGGTTGGAAACCTAGATTACTAGACTAATTTGACCAAATCTTGCGAGACCTCTATGTGGAAGATCTTATTTCGGGCGCTACTAGAGTGGCTTTGGCGCTGAATTGAAGCAAGATGCTTGATGAAATTCAAATGTTCCTGAGCTCAAATCGGACCAGTCTTCCTCCGAAAGCGATGCCGAGCAAACCTATGCCAAGCAACAATTCCCTACACATTCTGAAAGTGGCGGTAAACTCCTTGGAGTAACGTGGAAAAAACACAATGACAGGTTAGCTGTGGTCTTTCCGGCTAACAAAGACGTGTCTACAAAACGAGGTATTCTTGCTAACTTCGCCAGCATTTATGATCCACTCCGTTTCGCGTTGCCAATCCTACTACAAGGCAAATTGATGTATTGTGATGCTTGCACTATTGTGGGATTCTCCCCTTCCCGGAAACCTTAGCGAGGCGCTGGAATAAATGCGCTCTCAACACAAGGTAGTTTGGCAACCCATCGCAAACCGATTGAAGAGATAGAGCTACATTCTTTCGGCAATGCAAGCGGTCATGGAGTGGCTACAGCAGTTTACGCTGTTGTTTGTCAAGCAAGCCAAACGAGCCAAGGTCTGGTCACAGTGAAATCGAGATTAGCGAGTTTGAGCGGGAAACGAAGTACAAAGACAAAGACGTGTTTCGGCCGAGGTAGACTGGGAATAGTAGTCTTCGTCTTAAGTCTTTATGCAGCGGGATATTTGAATTGAGCAGTTCTGTCAAAGTCATATGACTACGAACACGGTTCTAATTTTGTAAACATGAACAGAGCTAAATATGAGATGGCTATTTTAGCAATGTTTTCAGAAGATGCTTTGAACTCGCGGTGAACTCGCAGACGTTTGCTAATGACGAGCGCCAGCTAAACCTACAAGCTAACGCAATCAGGATTCCTGAACTCCGCCTCAAACCCATCAGAAAGTTAAGAGTTGCCTCATGGTCTCTCTTGAGGTCTTCAAAATGTTTTGCTGCATACTCGTTATAATCCAATCTCATGAGACGGATAGCCTCAATAAATTCTCTCCAAAGTATTCCTTGCCAAAACACCTGGTCAACGGCATCCAAACCATGCATCTCCCATCTTTCTTCTTCCGACAACATTATACATTCGTGTTTTTTCTGACTAGGACTATCAAACTCACAACCTCTACACCTCTCTTTGCAAACTTTTCCAACCTCGCTGGAAACAGCCTCGGCAAATATCACATCTATCAAATGACATAAGTTCCTAACTTCCGACAGTTCAAATTCATCCATGGTTAAACTGTGCACGCTGAATATCTGTTCTTTTCCTTGGGAAGAATTCGTGATAAGAAACGCCTCTCGAAATGAAATTGCACGAAAAACCATATCCTTTATTTATACCGTTGAAGAATACTTATATCTTTTAAGTTCAACCCTACGTATTTACGCCACCCTCTTGGTAAAGTCCAACCCCACGTACTTACGCTATCTTCCAGGTAAAGTCCGACTCTGCATGGTCCCATTCTGCGTATTTACGCATTATTATCCACTGTGAACTTCCTGTATTGCATTTACGCGTACCCCTAGTTACGTTCTATAAAAGTCGGGTTAAAACTATGCTAAATTGTTCGCTATAGGCTAATGACTATCTAATTATAAATAAGAGTATCGGAAACTGCATTTTGAGAGAGAATTTCTGGCGTGATAACAGGGTGTCAATCCTTAGTGTTTAGTGAAGTGTGATGTTGGGATTTTGTTGAAGGTGAGACTGTTAGCATCTGTAGAAATAAATGAATAAGACAGTTCAGGTTTGTGTGATGTTTAAAAAAAGTTTAAAGAAAAGTAGCGTTGCACAGACTGAGATTTCTTTGTTTGACGTAAAGAGCACTGCCACACAATGTGTACAAGAACAGCAAGGAAGCTACAGTCAAAGTGAAAGGGTTAGGAATTGGACATACAATTGCTTAAAAGACGAAGTACTTGGCAGCAAAGATGAAATTTTACAATAGTGTCTGAAGGAGGATCTTATCACGCAAGAAAGATTATGCTGTCATTGGAAAAAACCAATGAAGCTGATAGAGTGTGATGATCGGTCAGACAGGTACAAATGGGAATGTTGCAGACAAGAAAATGGTAAACATCACAAGGCAGAAATGTCAATTCGTCATGGAAGCTGGTTCGACAATAGCAACATGACCCTTGAAGAAATATAAAAAATGACGTATTGGTGGTGCCGCGATGTTAAACAAGAGAATATTTGTCCCATTCTTTCCTTAGGTAAGAGCCTAGGTGGTAGAACAGCGAGTGCTCGCACTTGGAAGCGCTTATATCCCCAACAGGACTTGATAATTTTTCTCGCTAATTGGCAAAGTCTGGGAATCCAAAATTTCTCACGAACACGGGCCATGGTTAGACCAATACCACCATGCAACGCATGCTCTCATTTGACCAGCTTTTTCGCTAAAGTGCTTGCTTCATGCAGGTACACCGGGTAGCTTCCTTCGATTTGGCCACGGCATTCAATTGCGAAACTTAGTAACCGCGCCCTTGCATGACATGGAAGCGAGGCTTATTGTGCAAAAAAAATATTTGTATTTTTTGCAGTAAAAAGCTATCTGCCGAGTTATATCCTGGTTTTCACCTTTGGTTTACATATTTTTCAATACCTTTTCATGGTTTCATGGTGAGTGGTGAGAAAAATCATCACAAAGCATACACAGAATATTTAAGAAATTAACTCTTAAAATGAACATACAAATGTGTAATTCTGAGTAGTAAAATAAAATATACTCTTCGCAAATTCTTACTGTGTGATAAGTAAACTCGCATTTGTGTAATTTGAGTAAGATGCTGTCAAACAAACATATCCTGCGTATTATATGCATATTATTTTACGCTTCATTGTTTACCCCATTCCTCGCGCCGGCGCATTATTCTACTCGCGCTTGGAGACCACGCATATCTTTGGGAAAATCCAACAGTTTCCGACGTCCCGCGTGGGGTCCACACGTTGCGTGTTTTCCTCGCTATATGGGGGTGGCTACCTACTTAAGATCTTATGGCGAAGGAACAAAACCAGCAATTGTGGAAGTATTATCACAAGGATTGTAGGTCAAGTTCAACCTTTGGTCAACAAAAAAAAATATTGTGAAAAGAATTTAACATTTATAGTAACAGAAGCTATTTTTGTTAGAAAGGTAATAAGTGATTTTTGATTGAATATTTAAACAAAACTTGTTTTAGGTGGTGTCTACACATTGGCTGATTTTTACCTTCATTTACATTCTAGCACCACTTCAATGAAGGCCAGCCCTTCTTGTAGCATGTGGGATCTTGCCTAAGAGGGCCAATTTTTCATGTTGGACTCATATAAACACAGCCTTAGTTGTTTATATTATTTTGGCAGACTAAAAAATACCCAAGACTTTGATATATGAATATATCAAATTTCAACAGCCTTACTCACCTCTGTAAAGGCAACATCACCTCTCAAATAAGTTATTTCTAATACTACAAACCCCCTTTCAGAAGAAGCCACTAAGGTACCTCCTCCCCATGCAATCAAACTCTTCCAATATACCTGAAAAGCCCTAATGGAAAGATATTGCACTATTATTAAAGGGATACTCCACTCAAAATAAAGTAGCCTTCCATCAATAGATATTACTTATTTAATCTTACTTGTGAAGTTTGAACGGACAGTTCTTTTTAGTTAAGGAGAAATCGCATCTAAAAGTCTGTTAAAACGGCATATTTCGGACGCCATGTTGTCTTTCTCAAGCAGACGCGTATGGCCAGCAATGGCCAGCGGATTCTCACAAAATGACGTATGTGAGTGCTTCGCACAATTTCGCACTCTGAAAACAAACACAAGCTTATTTTATACCTGTGGGGAGAAATATGTCTACAAATTCGTCGAGTTCTAGCGATTACAGGTCGTCCAGTGATGATTTAGATGATTTTCTATTGAATCAAGAACTAGCAGACGGAATTGAGGGCTATCAATTCCATCCGAGACATGATTCATACGGCTCTCGTTCAAGCGAGTCAAACAGTGAGAACGCTGAATCAAGTGGCTCGGAACAAAATATTCTTGTCCGATTAAGTGATATGAATAAGACCTGGTAAGTTTCTGTTAGGTTCTGAATATTGATATGGTAATACTTGCATACAATGTCTTCTAATACGAAACACCATTTTATACATGTAAACATAGGTGTACATGCGAAAGTTGCCAAATAATGGACAGGGAAGTCGAGTGTCTTTGTTGTCAAGAAATTCCCGAGGTTGCCAGCAAGAACGAAGAAGTTTACCAGCAAGAACAACCACCAGCACGCTATCCATGTATAACAGCTAACCCTGGATTTCAGGCAGTTTGTTTAAATCGCTGGGTTTTACAAGCTGCCTGGTTTCAGTACAAGCAGCAGTACGGAACAGATGCTGTGGAAGGGCCAGAGCATAAAATAAATAGACATGTTGCATATAGACAATTAGTGAGGTGGTGCTGGGGTGTTCTTGGGAGAGAAGTGCGTGTTGTGTTGCCATCTTGTGCAGTCAGTTGCATTCGGGCCCATTTTCCTCCTCCTGGCCAAGAGGGTGACTTCGAGTTTATCGGATTTCATTTTGCGGATGAGTAAGGTATTGTATGATACTGATTTGATATTTTCCCACAACCTTCTTAAAGGATATGATCTCAGTATACTGCGTTTTGTGCTTCCTACAGTGCTGCTAAAATTATTGCTAGAATTTCATTCTTGTTTTATGTCGCTCTATTACTTCCTGTTTAGGTGGCTTAGGAATTCTGGCAATGCATTTTGCTTGGGTGACAGGCTTGTATTTGTGGCGAATTTTCTTTCCTTCCTTAATTGAGAGAACTTCTTTCATCATTGAATCAATGTATTCATATGACTTTGCCTCTTGATTTTTTTGCTACCCAGTTTTTCCTTTGCTTGGGGCATACAACGTTGAATCTCATTTCTCCTTTATTTTCCCCCACCTGTACAATTGCTTGCTTCCTGTGCACATGTGCATTGTGATCTAACATGGCGAGTTGTGTGCGAGCTACCATTCCATTGTAACTGAAATGTTCACGTTTTGGAGCGTACTTTAACAAAACTGAGTGGTATTGCTCCAACTCACCAGTATGGTGAAACTCAGTGAGTTTGTCTAAATCTTTTAAAAATTTCTTATTTGTGATGATCTCTTCTAGTGCTATATGAAAAGGAGACCCAGCTTTCAACCACTTAATGCTTTTCCTTTCTTTTCTTGACATTGTAGGATGGCCACACCTCTTGAACAACTTGCAACCACTCCATCGATGCTTGTCAACAATATGGTAAAGAAGAGAAAGCCACCGCTCTCTGAGCATGTTGGAGTCTCCACCACAGGTTGATGCGCACCACCATAAATGATTGGAAATTGCCTGGATCCATGGAGTCAGATCTTCAAATGACTTCTTTTTTGCCTTCTTCAGTAGTTTTTTGGTTACCCATTTTGCTAAATGCCAGACATCATATTGGTGTTTTATATTGGGGTAGACACTCTTCATTTTGGCTGTAATTGTGGTATGCCTATCAGTAGTGAGGCATCTGAATAGGGATTTTTTTTCTGGAGGAGGGAGTTTAATGTCCGTTTGCATCCTTCGTATTCCATTGCATTTGATGAGGTGGTTTCTGTGACTTGAACAACACTGAACTCAATGACTTTCTTGGTACTTTCATCCATCATGGTATACGTACCATACTTTGCAGAGTGGCCTGGGCTGTCACACCGTCCATCACCAGCTATATCTACATGGTTAGCCTTTTTTAATTCTTTCAGAATCTCAACCTGACTTGCTTTCCACTTATTATTTACAACAGGGAGTAGATATTTTTTTTGGGTTTTGTAGTAACTGGAAGAACTCACAATCTTCATGTTGAGAACTTTTGAAAATTGTTGGATATGCTGGTAAGTATTGCCACTAAACAGAATAGCTGCAGGAATTAACAAGTTACCTGCTGCAGTTCCATTTGATGAAGGTTGTGAGTGCCATATATTCGAATGTCCTTGTAAACATGTAGTTTTGATTATCATCATACTGCCTTTGCAATGTTTTGTTTTAGTTGTAATAATGTTTCCACATTGAGAACAGAATACAAAAAGTTTATCGAGTTCACTTTCAAACACAATCCATTTTTTTTCTTTAGTTGGGTCAACATTTTCATCTTCACTGTCAAAGTCATCACTGCTGCTGGAAGGAGAATACATTGGATCATCTTTATATCCATCCAAATCATCATCACTGCTGACAGGAGGAGAATACATGGGATCATGTTCATGTCCATTCAAATCATCATCACTGCTCTGTACTTCAGTTGGCTCAGGGTGAATTGTTATTGTTGAATCTTCAACAGAGGATGTATTGACATAATCAGCATCTGGAGGTTGTAATGTGGGCTTAAAGTAATTATGCTCATCAAGTATACTGTGCTGAGAATGATCTCTTGCTGATGTTGGACATGCTGCAGCATTAGATAAAATGTTATCAGTCTGGGTTTGTACAGATCTAAATGTCTTCACATTAAAGACACATGTTTGAACACCAATTTCCTTTACACTTGTTGTTTCACAGGCTTTAGTAGCATGGCTTTCTTCACATAACATATCACTTTCATCAAAACTGTTTGTCTCAAATAGAAGCTGGTCTGCATCCTGCACAGAATTACTTGCCTCACAACTTTCACCTGCCTTTGGGCATGTATCTTCCAAATTGTGATTTGCGTTCTTTGTAACCTTTTAAATGAATATATTTATTTCTCATTATAGCTACACAAAAATACTTTATAAGTTATAAAATAATAAACAGCATTTAATATTTTGGCTCGGCTGCTAATATTTTTTATTATGTTACCAACCGTAATGTACATGAAAATATACAAAAGGTAAAATTTCACATACCTCTTTTTCACGTATACGTATTTGCCTTAAACTCGACGAACGTGGAGGAGGTTTCTTCTTTGCGTATTCAAATAGCGTTGGAATTGCTGTTGGTTTTAACGCTTTTGGCTTTTTTCGACCGCATATTTCCATAGCAGGTATAAAACAATCAGGCGTAAAGTGAACACTACAAACAAATGAGTTTTTAATATTTCGCGGGTTGTCCCTTTTGATATTTTGCATCCAAGCGCTTTTCATCGGACCATTTGGCACTCTATGATAAGTTATATCAGTACCCTTGGTCTTCCTCCAACCATTTGTACATTTGGGAACCATACAATGCGGCATTTTACTAATTTGACAGTTGATTTAACACTATTTACATATAAAAATGTAGTTTAAATTTAGCGCTAAATTCTGCGAAGCACTCACATACGTCATTTTGTGAGAATCCGCTGGCCATTGCTGGCCATACGCGTCTGCTGAGAAGCAACATGGCGTCCGAAATATGCCGTTTTAACAGACTTTTAGATGCGATTTCTCCTTAACTAAAAAGAACTGTCCGTTCAAACTTCACAAGTAAGATTAAATAAGTAATATCTATTGATGGAAGGCTACTTTATTTTGAGTGGAGTATCCCTTTAATAGAGGATTCAGGCATGAAACTTTTATTGTGATACTAAGGTAGATTCTTTTTTTGTTCATCAAGTGACTACCATTTGATATGTCACCTGTGAGTACAACATGTGATTGTAACTGAATCTAATCATAGTTATTAGAAAATAAACATGGTTAGGAAGGCTAGTTCAAAATCATGCTTATTTTTCAGCTAATACAACAGGATTTCACATGTAGCTACTCTCATGTTCATTCTTAAATTACCAGTAAAATATAGCTGGAACAATTTTTTATTAATTTTTATACTTGGGATAGAGTCCAATTTCCATACTCTGAAATACAGTACATTATTTCCAAGTAAAATATTTAATCAATCAATGTATTTAATGATGTACAAATTACAACAGTTTTTTTAGAATATTTCACTGGATTTGATGGAGGACAATACAATGCCCAACAATCATTGTGTTATAAATACTGCTGACATGACAGGCAAGAAATCTGTGGACATTCTTAGAAAGGTATTTTATCACAATAACTTTCGAGGAAAACAAGAGGAGGCAATACATAGCATATGTCAAGGTCAAAATACAGTGCTCATTATGCCAACTGGTGGTGGAAAATCACTGTGTTATGCAATTCCAGCATTAATGAAACAGAAGCTTGTTGTTGTTGTTTTCCCATTGTTAGCTCTACTCCTTGATCAAGTTGAAAGAAATAATCCAAAATGTTGGTCAATCCAAAAGGAGACTATTTGTCTGAATCAAGGCAGCTTTGAGTACTTGCAGATGCTGGCCATGGCTTAGAGCAATCATATAATATAATTAACTTATCCAACCATGCACACTTTCCTTTATCTCACATTTTTTATAGGACAATCTCAGAAACCTCAATCATCTACGAAGTTTCCTCATCAAACTGTTTCAGGAGCAAAAAGTAAAGGCGTGTTTCACATGGCAATATTACTTTTGATTTCTTTATTTAGCAGTATCCGAATGCTTTTACAGTTAAATTAATTGTACTACGATATCTGAGGAAATATAAGAAAGAGGGTTTAGCTAAGCAAACTCAGTCAGCTGGTTTGACTTTAGGCAAGTTATTGACAAAGTATAAAATCCGTACTTGCTATTGAAAGCTGTGTCCTCAGAAGTAGGTGTCAATTATATATCAACCCTGAGAGGAATTTTCAACAGTCCATTTACTTCCACATGATAGAAAGCCTTTCCATATAATAGACTGGTGCATGTGATAGTCTGTACGAAAAAACGTCGGCCCGATATTTATAATTTATAGTCCAGGAGTGAGAGCGATTCAGAGAAATATTGCTCAAAGGGATTATATTACCTGAGAGAGAAGTCCGAGGCAAATATCATCACTAAGAAACGCTGAACCCTGGGAGGGTCTGTCAACGATATGTGACACTAGTTTTTTTGTTTTATTTTTAAATACGAATAATTTCGTCACCTTTATTCCCGCCCCTCTCTGTCACACACAAGTTCGGAAATATAGATACTGAGATGTGACAAGGCAAAAAATTGACAGGTCAGTGCTACAAATACCGTTTTCTGATCAATTTAACAATTAGAATTTGAGGTATAATATCTGTTTGTAAAGTACTTCTGCTCACCTCAAATTTAAAAATTAAATGCAATGCACAAAGGAACACAAGTAGGGAAGATAACGTCTTTTATGTCCACAGTTTGAAGACTGTGATGTAGGAACTTCTATGGCTATGAGGCTTATTCAAAATCATAACAGTTTCATAAATGAAATTGCTAACTTTAATTTGTGAAGGTGTTTTTTGGGATTCATTGTTCTTATACATCAATTATAATCAAACACATAATGCTTAAAGTTAAGGTGGCCACTACAGCAAAGTTACGATTTATCCATGCGAGAATTAAACAAAAAAACTGCAATCACTTAATATTTATACATGTTCACTTCTATTCAATAACAAAAGATCGAAGGCCCATGGGAATTATTAAGGGGTGCAGTTGTATATGAAAAACCTCTTTTTTTGTTTTTCTTGACAAACACAGAGAATTTCATTCCCTTTATTTTCGTGCGAGATAAAAGGTAAAGCTGACATGACGAAATT